ACATAATCTTAGAAGAGAGAGGAAGGTTCCTGTTGGAACTGTGTCATGCAAAACTCAGTATAGACTTTTGTTTCTGGAGCTTTTCTTTTCTTAAAAACAGCATTTACTTGGACTTGCATAAAAATGTCATATTTTTAATGCTTTTAGAATGGGATTTTATGTCCAAGTATTTTTATTTTGCTTTGGTCTATTTATTATCAACTCTCAATGTAATTGTTTGCCAAACAATTAGGGTGAATAAAATCCATTATAATAATTTATTTCTCCCAGAAGAAAAGCATTAACATTATATTGTATTTAGAAAACAAATACTCAGTTCTCCCCTGGAAAGCCAAGAATGAATTAAAGATTTATTTTATTAGAGTAAGAAATTGTTTTAAAGCGCAGCAACTAGACTCAAACAAGAGTGGAAAATACCAGGCTCAAAGATTATAAATGTTGGAAGTGTTGAGGGGAAAATGTAGAACTAATCCAAGTGGCCTTGAACTATTTCTTTAAAAAAATAAAGAAATAGAGAAAAGATAAGAAAAGTGAAGAGAAGAGAAGAAAGGAGAGGAGAAGGCAAGAGAAGAAGGAAGGGGAGGGGTCTAAAAAGAAAGCAAAGCTGTGGATAAGGCACTAAAATATAAACAATATTCTCACAGAATACTATGGGAATTTTGCCCATCTACATTTTCAGAAAAATCCACTAAGAGATTTGAGATCAACTAGACCTTAGTTCACTTATTCTGCTTTTCACGAGTGTGTACAATTGTTTTTATTCTTGGTGTATACCAACCTATCTATAATTTTCTGTCACTTTTTTGGCATGTATTTTTCTGATCTGATCTGTTTGGAGTTAGGGGAAAATTAGGATAGGAATGAAATTGCCAGTACTAAAATAGTGGCGAAATTTTACATTGTCCAAAACCTCATGGTTCATTGTCTGTTGGTTCTTTTAATGTTCTATGTCATGCTGTATGTCTGATTAATCTAGTTTAGGTTAATATGTTCCTTAGATAGCATCGCCTGGGACCTTTATCTGGGTCCCTTTTAAAAACAAGAATTCTCTAGCTATATCCCAGACTTACTGAATCAGTCACTGACATGGAGCCTAGCAGTCTAATTTCATAAGTCCACCACATAAATAATAAGGATGCATGTTAGTGTTTGAGAACTCAAAAAATAGGTTCAGTCCCTGTGTGGATCAGTTGCTATAACTTTATCTCAGTATTGCTTTTGTTACAGACTGAATTGTGTCCCTCCAAAATTCATGCACTGAAGTCCAAATCTCTAATTCCTTTAAATGTGATTGTTTTGTCAGTGGAGCCTTTACAGAGGAAATTCAGTGTAAATAATCTCCTTAGAATGAGTTCTAGCCCCATGTGACTGCTGTCCTGAGCAGAGGGGGAGACTGAGGCACAGACACAGGAGGAAAGACCATGTGAAGACAAAGGAAGAACATGGCCATCCACAAGGCCAGGAGATAGGCCTCAGGAGAAACCAATTCTAACCAAACCTTAATTCTCACATTTTTGAAATCTATACTATTAAGGGAAAAACTTTGGTTGTTCTAAATCATGCAGTCTATGGTACTTTGTCTTGTAGCTCTAATCAGCTAATATAACTCCCAACTGCTCCGGTTACCTCCTGGAAACTCAGAGCCATTGGTCATAGTGGACAATGGGCAAAAAGAGAAAATGGCATTACACAATAATCATCTGTACAAGAAAAACTGGTGATAAGTCTTAGTGTCACTGTAAAACACGAAAAATAGCATTATTTTTATTATTTTGTGATCTAAACTAGAGTTTTATCCCTGGGTTAATAATAGAAGCCAGATGAGCTAAGTTTAATAATTCAAAATTTCTAGTGAAAATCTACCCGAGAAAAGACTTTAAGACTACAACTTTCAAAGAAAGTGGGGGGGTAGTATTGCCTACCCATTTGAGGGGGAAGAAGTTGTATCTCTCCATGACATGAGACATAAAGTATAAATTCAATGAAAACAAAAAAAGTTAAAGACAAGAAGTAAAACTCAAATAGTAGAAAAGGATCAGGAAGTTATGTTTTTAATATCTGAGGAAGGAAAAACTCTCTCTAAAAAGAAACAAATCAAAGACTACATAAAAGATTACTCTGCCTATGCAAAAATGTAAAACTCTATTACGGTTTTAAAAAAAGACACCCTCAATGCAAAATAAAATGACAGTTTGGAAGAAAAACATTAGTAACATGGATAAAAAGTTATTAATAACCTTAACATGAAAAAAAATAAAATAAAATAAATTTTAAAAAAAAATAACCTTAACATGGACAACCCTCCCATAGTCAATAAGAAAAGCACTGACATATTGATTGCAAAAAGGTCTGGAATGAGAGATTCAGAGAATATTAAAAGAGTAACAAAGATAGAAAAAAGATACAAAATGTATGGTTTAAATATTACTGATTTTTTTAAAAGTCTGCTAAAGTGCACAATAGGTGATGTCAGGAACTGGCTTTTTCTTTTAGAATGGAATGGTAGTATTCATTGCACATTTTAGCAGTACATGACAGCACTATAAATGAGCTTGTCTTAATCTAGTAATTCCACTAGCCACAATAATAAACTCATAAGGATGTATTTAGTGAAACTGCAATATTTGAGAGAGGAAAATAACTAGAAATAAAAAGACTTCTGGGGGCCAGGGAGATAGCTCAGTGGCTAAGCACCTTCCTGGCAAGCGCAAGGTCCTGAGTTAGATTCCTGGTACCAAAAAAGTAAAAAAGAATTCTCCATCAATAGGAAAATTATTTAAATTTGATATATTTATATCATATAACACTATTCAGATATTTAAATATAATTTTAATATAGACTATTGAAATTAGCAAGTTACAAAAGTGTATCTAGTGCAATCTCACTGCTTCCTTTTTTTATGGCTCCACGTTTGTAATGCATTGTGTTTACACTCATGTAGAGCTGGTACACGTACACAAGGCATCTTCATTTCCTTTATCCACTCCCTCTCTTCCCCCTCCCTCCATCTCTTGATCCTCCTCCATCTGAGAACAATCTATCTCCCTGCTTCCTATTATCCATCTTTTATTCAGTTCTTTATTTATAACTTGGGTTTCTTTAGAGAAACCATGTGATATTGAAGCTTGTGTGTCTGATTTATCTCACTTAACATTCTGGTCTCAAGGTGCATCCATTTTATTATAAATGACTCAAGTTTATCTCACTTTTTAAAACTAAAATTATGTAAGTATCTATTAGTGTAGAATTTATTTAACATGGGAAGGTTAAGACTACAACAGCAGAACAGATTTTGTTAATTTAGGGTATGACAATTTAGGCGTATGGAAAATTCAAGTGAAAATTCAAATTAAACATGAAATCCTAAGACTAAGTTTACATCTTTAAATCAAAACTTTAAAGTACACTGCAAATCTAAATTATGCTTCCTTCAGATTTCAATAATTTTGCCTCTGCTTTATTATGGATACATTACTAAAAAAAAGTGAACTTTTCATTATTCTTTCTTTTTGTCTCTTTTGAAACAGAGTTTCACTGTGTGGTTCAAACTGACCTTGAACTCAAAGCCATCCTCCTGCCTCAGCTGCAGAGTGCTGGGGTTACAGGTGTGCGCCACCAGGCCCAGCTTTCCTGTCTAAACTGTTAACTGTAAATATACCATCAGCAAATTTAAATTTTTGATAATGTGAAAATCTTAATACTGCATTCTCATAACTGCAAAGCATAGCTTTGATCATATTGCTTGATATTTATGTAGGGCAGGACAGCTCGACCAGAAAACCTGTGAGGTAACTCCCTATAGCCGCTTAGCACAGGACACTTAGAATACAGGAGCTCACATCACAAGATCGCAAAGATTTTATTTTAACCAAGTTCCTGATTTGCGTTTTGTACTGCCATGTTTGAGTTCAAAATGAAGGGACTGGTTCCACTTGGATGGAAGGAAAAGGAAAGAAATGTACTTTAATCTTGCTCCAGTGCTATTACACTATTCGGGTTTTCTGACAGTCTGACAGAATTCAGGGACAGAATGTCAGGGTAAACACATTCTCTAGTAAGGAAATTAAAAGCACGAAGGCAAAACTACAGTTATTTTTACTTATTAGAAGCCCAATCATATTGGACATGGCTGCAACAGGCAATGCTTGGGTATTTTATGGAAAGTTTTGTTTTCTGTATTTTTAAGAATCAAGTTATTTCCCTTATGTTCTGTACAATTGTTAGAAACTAGCTTTTACTTATTATAAGCAGCATTACAGCATTCATTCTGCCTTATCTTCAGAGACTGAAGGAACACTTTTCTCAGTACTCATGAAGAGTGAATCCTAAGTGTTTTCATCTCAGGACATTTCTAAATGAAACTTTAAACAAAAGATTCCTGCTTAAATATTATGAGGAAGACAAAAATGAAATTTATTTTTTACCTAATGTTGAAATCACTGGTATTGTCAGTTCTTCTTTTGTATCCCAGGATGTACTTACCTGCTCCCTTAATGTCAGTAGGGCCTGCTCCCTTGATGTTACTTTCTCTGGGCTGAGAAGTATGAGGCAGTGGATACTCTGTAGGTCTAGGTATGATCACCATGATCTGTATTTTTCCCTCTGGCATGGGGAACGGCAAACCTAATGGAAGCTACCTTGTCACCTTGGCAGTGATTATAATGACATGAGCCCCCCTTCTGAGTGGATGGGAGTCACAGGTAAGATATAAAACTTTATAAGGCTGACAGCACAGAAATTTGGGGAGTTTTAGGTACCATAATCATATCTAGGCTATCCTAACTGTCCCTAGCTCACCAGGTTTTGAAAATGATCAGATCTGAATTATTATGACCTGCCTAAGTAAAAGTGAGGCACAGGTAAAAGAAACACAGATGTCATCAAAGACTGGGTAGGGCCTACATAACAAAATGCCTCCCCTCCAATGGCAAATAAAAATAGGAGTTCAGGTTCAGGATTTCCAAGTTTTATAGGATCTTCCTAAAATAACCACTCCTGATAAACATTAATCCATGTTTATTGTAAAATCATTTGACGTTTCAAGCTAGTCAAAGCACTGAAATTACATGAACTGCATACCAAGGCAATGAACAACATATACATATCATTATTTAATCTTTTACGTAAAGAAGAGCACAAAACGCATCTATTCACATAACAGAGAATATATTTCACGTTTTACTGAAGTAACAAGTTGAAGTCCAACATGATTTACCAGGTGATAAATTCTTCTAACAGCCAGATGAGGGAGCAAGAAAATGTACATTCCCTGTCTTTACACTCTGATCCTAGAGGGTGAATGTGGAGCAATGGTGCAGTCAGTAAAGAGAGCAACAGTTTTCACAAAAGCTCACGGTGTATGTTTAACGAGTGCTCTTACATTCTAAGCTCAAATTAGGCACAAAACTAAAGCAGGTTTGTCTTTTTAAATCTTAACGTGAACAGACACAACTTGTTACATCACACTGCTATATCTATATTCGTGTTTGTATTAATGCTTAGGAATTTTCCACTTTAGCTATGCAGATAAAAGCAACTTTCTATCTCCAGAAAAAAAAAAAATTGTAAAGGGCATAGTTCTGTCACCTAATTGAACCCATCAGTAAAAAGCCTGACGTTTTCGGATGTACCCACAGCTAATTATGAGTCAGCATTCTCTGTTTTTGTCTTTATATTCATAATCCTAAAACCCTTGGGCAATTTTGTGTCATTTTTTCCAAAAAATTCAGACACTAAAAAGAGCCTGTACATATTTTGAATTTGCCTATAAGATCATCTCTAAAAATCATATGCTGTGATAGTATGTGAAACTGCATGCCCAATACTTTACCTGCTGTGGAGATATTGTTGCACTTTAAATGTAATTGTGAATTTTAAAACAGAGCTTCACTCAGTCAAACTGGTGAGCCTGTTAAAATGTTTCACACTATTTACTTCCAAAATGCAGAACAAACACATATCCAGTTGGAACACGTATGGAAGTTATTGATGGATGTTCCCGCTATTGGTGATGATATAGAAAACTGCCAAACTATATACAGCGTAAGAATAACAGAAACAAAATCCTGAAGCCAGGTAATGCACGTTGTTGTGTTCACTTTAATTTTGTTTTTCTTGGGGGGAAAAAGCCTAAAACAATATAAACACATACTCTTTCAGTACCGTTTTTTCAGTTTTCGATGGCTACTTGGTACATTTCACATCATTTTAAGACCAATTCGATAGCCCTAAATCCATGCCCACATAATACAGACAACCCTTTAAATATGCACAGAGTGCCTCCTTTGGTGCTCCCCAAACATTTGCATCCCATGCAAGATAAGGGCACACAAGATTTCTTGAGTGCGGACACACATGGCTAGGGTGACACTGTGACGATAGACAGACAACTCTGCCACTGGGTCAGGCCCCCCGAGAAGAGGCCTGTGGCCTGTGAATGAGGTTCTTTCCAGGGCCTTTCCACAGTCAAAGCGCAGGAAAATGTTCACTGCAGGTTTTTATCCAATGTAGCGAGGAAGGAGAGAGATTTGGTTTCTTGTGCTTTATTCCACAGAATACCACCATCCTTAAGTAGCTCCAGGCAATAAATACCTGGTCTGAAAGTAAGTGAAACACCTGAAAGTTCTTCCTGCCTTTAAGTGCTCTTGAGACACATGAGAACATTTATGCAATTTAATAGCAATCACAAATTAAAATGGCTGTTTTTAGAAATACGCATTATATACACATAACATGCACACACATACATATATACAGACATATATACACCACAATAATCTATATATAACTTTCAGCTTAAATTAAAAATGTGTAAAAACTGCAATTCTATGTCCAATTGTACCAGGAAATTCTTGTCTGTAATTCAATTTGGCAAGAATTCATTTAGTATCTATTATGTGCTATTTATAGGCAAATAAACTAAAGTTATATGATTAATCATTTACTGGTCTTAAGACTACATGTGCCAATGCATGTGTTTCTTCTTTAAATTCACTGAAAAAAATGGCTGCTTTAAATCTTCACTGAGGCTGCTTGCTTACTTTTTTTTAATTTATAAATGAGAATATACCCAAATTCCCCCAAATTAACAATTCCAATGTAAACTACCAACTGAAAGCATAAATATATGAACATAATATTTTAAGAAATCAGTCTCAAAGGGGAAATTAATTTTTAAATGGATCTAACTTAATGGAAGCAGGAAATCTTTATGGAAATGTATTTCCCTATCTAAAGCAGATCTACCTACCCTAATTTCTGATGGGCCCAGGACACTTTGAATATGTACTAATACATTCTACCCAATGAATTATAATGTGGACAGAACTATACTAACAAGCAAAGGAAGGTCTAAATTATTGGGAAATTTGGAGAGACACTATTCTCCCTTAATTTCTGATTTACAATTAAAATGACCCCAAAATGTATGGCTAATTTCCAGTTGTCTCCCTTGACAGTGGTAGCATAAAGCATTGCAAGATGCCATCTCACTGATTTAGTGAACCAGCTTTCAATGGAATTCTCTGATGCCTTACATCTATGTGTATGTGTAAACCAGAAACACACTAGCTGCAGATTGTGAATATTATATATTATGAACCTTTTTATTCTCTGGCACAGAAATTATAGCTCACAGTAAAACATCCTTCCTACATTCTCTGTACATAACACTGGGGTTTCAGTTATTGTGTTGTCAGTGGTAGAGATTTTTAGGAACTGATTATCATGCAAGTTGTCTGTATCTGTCTTAAAAGGCCACTCTCATTTCTCTAAAATTATTGTGGATCAGTTCACTAAAACTTTCAGAGAAAAAGAAGAGTGTTTGACAACTGCAGATCTATTACTTGCCAAAAATAATCCTTCAAAAAAAATTAACCTTCCTTATGATAAATACAAGCAGTCATATCTGTCAAAGGCAACAAGATGGGCTCATTCTAAAGAGGTTCACAAGATAAAACAACTTGTCACCCAGACCTGTCAGCCACAGTGAATCCCAAATGTCATGATCACGCATATATACTGATTGAGGGTATGTAATGACTGCTAAAACAGACCAGAACGACAACAAAACAAATGATAGTGCTCTATTTCATTTAGCCTCGTTTATATGGAATAAGGAATAGCTGCAGAGCAGTGATCTCAAAATATCAGTCTTACTGTGCAGATACCACTAAGGCATTCTCTGGCAAACAGGCCAGTTAAGTGCATTAGACCTCAACAGATTCATTTATTCCAAAAGCATGAGTCACACAGATAAGCTCAAAATTATTGTCTATTTGACTCTCATAGCATAGTCTCATTCTACATCCAGTGGACAGAGAAAGAAAACTGTGTGAGCACACAGCTAATTTAACAAATGTAAAAAGCTGAATCTGACAAAGGTATTCCCAAACTACATGTTGAGGTCTGAATTTTCCAGTTAAACTACATATATTTATCTAATTAAATGAAATACTGCCCAAACTATTCAGAATTTTGTTCTAGACCTACACTGACTTACTGTCCTACTAAACTAGGTGCTTGAGGACTTACTTTCTCTGCAACTGGTGACTCAGAAATAGCAGCAACCTTTAAGGAATTTTTAATGGAGCTAAGTTCCCAAATATGAAAGCTGATCACATGCACCCCACAGCAGCGCCGGGCAAGCTTGTAGAGATTCTTAAGGACGGCCTTCCGGAGAAGAATGTATACCCAGGGATCTAGGATTTGATTCCACGTTGCCATTCGGAGAGCAAAAAGTGTGGTTTCACAGTTCTCTAGAGAATTATTTGCATTGATTCCAATGTTGGCCATTGTTACCTAGAACACAAACAGCAGCAGGAAAACAGTTGAGTACAGATATGTTTTCAGCCCTTATAGTTCCTTAACTTAACCAGCCATGTACATGTCATTCAGTCCACTTTCCATTGTTATGTTATTTTGCAAAATACTGACAAAAATAGATGAGTAATATCAGAATCACTTATAAAAGCATTTATAGCCTTTGAATTCAAAATGACAGCAGAACTGTAAAAATGCTAACTTCTATGGTAAGTGAGATGTACACAAATAGAATGGCTCAAGGGATAACACACATTCTTATCAGTAACTAGATTCTTCATACTCTGGATAGCAATCTCAAAGCCAACACACAAATGTATGTTTCAAAGAAAAACTGAAGTACATTTAAGTAAGTAAATAAGAGATTAACAATTTCTCAAAATGAATGTAGAACATATGATATTAATTTGTACATAGTATATTACATTGTTCTGGAATATTACCTTTAGAATTTTCTTCTTGTTAGTTACAATATTTCTAATGTCTTTAATTTTACATTTCTTTTCTATATCTCTTACTCTAACCTTAAATTGGCTAAAATATTCCCAAAAATATGCAAATAACTTTCTAAGAACTTTGTAAAAATGAGTTCACCTCTGTACTGCCATTGTGACTTAAAAGTAACAATGTATATCTTGATCTCCTGTGTCCATTTCCTGATACTTCATGATTGCAAAGAAATCATTTTATAGAACTAGTTCCATGAATGATTCTAATTACAAGATAAGTGAGTCAAATCACTAAGCCACATTTGACTTCCAAGTAGTTGCAGAAAAGACAAACAAAAGGGCTTTGAAAACATCTTGAGTATAAAAGCAAATAAAGCATCAGTGATCAGAAGATGAAACTGAAAAATTAAATGATATCTGAACCATTGTATCACAAAGATTAAAACCTCTATAACAAAATCTAAATTCCGGGGCTGGGGATTTAGCTCAGCGGCAAAAGCGCCTGCCTGGCAAGCACAAGGTCGTGAGTTCAGTTCCTGGTACCGGAGAAAAACCAAAAAAAAAAAAAACAAAAAAAAACAAAATCTAAATTCCAAGTGAAAAGAAAATCAAGACCGTTGTCAGAAATATCTTTATTTGCACTGATGAGATCTTTAGTTGGAAGATAAATACCCCTTATCAAATCTTTCATTGTTAATACAACAAAGTATGAATTCCTCAGCTGGCTCCTTGATGATGCATCTGAAAGTCCATCTCAGTAACATCATTTTCTCTGCAAATGCCCTATGCTCCAACCGCTGACGAAGGCTGCACTTGCCCCACATATGCCATGGCCTTTCTGAACTTTGGCTTGTGTAACTCTTTTTTTGTTAAACTCCTTTTCTGCCTGACAACTCCTATGCATCTTTCAAATTCCATATAATCATTGACTCACCCCGATGTAGGTTTCCCTGTCTACACCTAAATGAATCAGCAGTTTCTCCCTCCTCTGTATCACCCCAGCCTCCTGTCCACATCAAGTTCCATCACTTACAATAATACATAATGATTATGCATTTGTCTCTACATCTACGAGAATCTTTTGTTTTTCTTTGTTTTTTTCTTTCTTTTGTTTTTCTTTGTTTTTCAAATAATGAGAACAGAGCTGACATCTAAAATGTCCTCAGTAAATTGGGAAATGAATTCAATTATGTTATTTTTGTCCCTTCAGACTATTTGGGAAGAACATCTAATCAGCGGAGTCACTTCTGACCACCCATCACAGGGTCTCATATTTTGCAGCATTAAATGTTTCTAAAAGTTTCAATACAATAACTACTGCATTCCAGAGTGGTTTGTTGCCACTTAAAAGAAATAAGATTTTGCAGACCAGGCAAATCGTTTGGGAAATGTTTATTCCCCACATCCCTGGGGCCCATTCCCTGGGAAAATAATGAATTAAACTAGAGGCCTAAATATCCTGTAGCTAAAAAACAAAAATGAAAATGGTGTTTCCTGCACAATAGCACCTGGCTCTGATACAAACTCTTGTATCACTGTTCCTTAAATTATCTAATTGGTTTGAAGAAGTATACCAGTTGGCCCCAGTTCCTCATACAAAGAAACCAGAGCCAAGATTTAATTGGCAGTCAGACTGAGATATTTTCACTTTATGTTTCTTCTGTACTCACCAAATGTTTATTGATTATCTGCTATGTGCTGGGCAATGTGTTAGGCATTAGATTTACGGTGATGAACAAAGCAGACACTGTAGAATTTCTAATCTGTTTGCTACAATAGTTTTTGTCTAAAGATGAATATTTCTCTTGCCTTACAAGAATGAAATGAATGTATTTTCTAATAATAACTAGGTATATTCCTGGGTATCTCAGCCTAGCTAAGACAATGCTCTGTGTGTATAGGAACAAATGCACTCAGTATAGTTCCCTGGCACGGCTGACCTTGTTATAGAGATGGGCAAATTTGAACCACTTCAGTTAGTGATGCATGCACTTCTCTGATTCTTCTCTCTGCCCTATAAACAGGAGGTGGTCACCAGCTGTGAAAAAACACAGAGGCCTCTGCTGCAGAAGCCCGGAACACCAGTGCAATGCCCAGGCATTCATAACCACTCTCTCCTTCTTGCCCTCCTTTATCTGCCAGTTTCAGCCATGAAGAGCAGTTGCTCTGGAGGCCAGCTTGGGGATGGATTTATTACTTATCCATCAATAAAACATAGGTGAAATATTTCTCTACAAGAAATATCCGGAGTATGTTATGGATAACAACACATTATTGATAATTCAAGAACACCTATGGTAATTTCCCATAATGAAAAAAACATGCAGGTGCTAGTGTTTGTGATTGTTAGCTTTTTAAATAACAAATCCTTGAGCCATATTGATGCTATACTCTAGTTTGGAAAAAAAAAGAATGTTACTTTTCCATAGAGAAAAGAATCACCAGACTGTGTATCAGTACTTTCATTTATTAACTTTAGACCATAGACGTATGGAAAGTTTTTATTAACTCCTTTGGTTTGTGTCTAATTTAGCAATTTTTCTTTGATCATACATTGTTCTCACAAGTTTTTTTCCCTCATGTAATTTGTGAAAATACACTACTTTACTAAAGAATCGGAACTCATGTGGATTATTGATGCATTCTATGTGTATGTGAGTCCAGCGGTACTGAGGACGCCACAGAATTGCCTGGGAAACTTAGGTCTGATAAAACTGGCAGGAGATGTGTGAGAACTTTCGTCAGAAAGAAGAATGTCTGCAAATTGGCCAACAAACATGGCTGGCAGTCATTGTGCCTGGAGCCCGATGACTCATCAGCCTCCGGAATGCTCTTCTCTGATTGGCCCACCCAACCTACATTCCAGATAGTTGTGTGCAGATCCTCCTCAAACAGATATCTTTCATCTAGCTTCCAGGAGCTATGCAGCCTGGAGCTGGGGGAATACATATTATTTTCCAAAATGTCTTCTACTGGCACATTACAGTTGCTCATCTAGGTTAATGATTATAATTCTAATTGAGAAATGCACAGCAACAAGTGGTTTGATGGTCTCTTAAAATCAATTAATTAACCTGATATCTCTGAGGTACTCACTACTAAGATAAGAGAAAAACAATGAAGTCCAAGAGATATACAGGAAAGAGAGTTTATGTGCATTGCAAAGTTTCCAGGAGCAAAACAGATAGATGATATGATAAAATACCCACCCATTTGGGCCACATGGTACAATTACATCAGCTGTTATATTCACCACAATAAATCAACCTTCAGGCGACTTTACACATAGATAAGAGGCCCCCTGGCTATTAAAGCTTTATTCTGGAAGTTATTCAGCATCCTCTACCTTATGTGTGTATACCTCTTTTCCAGAATGAGGAGACCCATGGTGTTTACAATTTAAAAACAATGGTATACTGAAGAGGTGTGCTTCAATTGCTTTGTGTATTCACAAAAGAGCATAAATCTAGCAGTGAGAAATTTTTGAGTGTTGTCTATGTGCAACCAGTGTGCTAAACAATAATGTCACTGGGATGAATATTTAAAGAACCTACCTAACTGATGATGTATCTTGCTATTTTTTAATTCTGCCTCTGACACTAAAATATAATCTTGAAAGCATCTGTTTTTGTCTGATTCTCTGTTGTACCCTTAGCATTTGGTACTCACAAGGGTAGGCAGCATTGTTGAATGAACTGAATGACATCCTATGAGAGGAGAGCAGCAAGAAAGCAAACAATTACCATGCTGCGTGCAGTAGAATGAAGATATATAAAAGGAGCTGCGTTAAGCATGGTGGCACATGCCTGCAGTCTTAGCTACTCAGAAGGCTGTGATGTGTTTAACACCACTTGTGTGACATAATGAGACCCCATCTCAAAAACAACAAAAACAATAATGAAAAATAAAAGGTGCTACAGGCAGGGCTATTTACTTATACATCATCACAGATGTAATCACCAAAAAGCATGTTTCTGAAATTTGCCTAGGACATAAACACTTGTTAATCAGCTTTGACCAACTGAACTTAATGGTGATTGTGCTTCAGGTTAAATTTTTCCTTAGCAGAACTTTTTAAAAGAATTTTAGGTGAATACATAATCAAATTCTTTTTTGATGGACTGTCCAACTTCTTAGATACCAAAACACATCTCAGGCTGTTATCATCATCTCTTTTCATGTGGACAATTCTATGATAATTATACATGATTCTCACACAGTCACTGGAACAAGTGTTATCACACACAGTTCCTCTTAGCCCAAAAAGTAGACCATTCCTCCTCCTTAGGCAAGACTGAAGAGGACTAATTCAAGGACAGTTTCTTTGAGGAGTGAATACATACACAGAAGTACAGTTTGTTGATTTGCAAGTTTACTGCCCTTGAAAACTTTATCATCCAAAGATTAATATTTGTCTATCACTTAAATAACCATAGAGTATAGCACAAATTGTAATGATGTAATTACAGTCCGGTTTCACTGTATCATAAAAATGATTCACCTCGAGGTTTTCCAAAGAGGCATTCCATG